TGCACAGCTCCTTACCTGGGACTCATACTTGAGCCTGCGGCTGACCTCCTCCCGGAAGCCTGACAGGTTGGCAGGGCCCTCCCCACAAGGAAACCTAGCCAGGATCTCGGTGGCATGGCCTAGTGGGAAGCCCTCTTCCTCAGCTGTGAGTGAGGAGGGGTCCACAAACTCACTGAGAGCACAGACATAGGCCTCTCCTCGCAGCAGAGAGATGACAGACCAGGTGACAGGGGCCACAGCTGCACGGCCAACGATGGAACTTAGAAGGAGAAAGTTGGGAGCAGCTGAGCAGTTCTTGGTCCTCCGATACTGGCACTCGGCAACTAGGTTCCAGGTGTGGTTGTTGAGGATGACACCGATGAGGAAGAGTGCCAGGGCGGGCACTCCGATGGCTGTCAGCCCATACAAGTAGTTCCGGGCTGGTGAGCAGGGACAGTGGAAGGCCACCACAGAGAATAGCTCCTGGCTGCCCACTGTGCCCAGTGCTACCAGCCCATTGAAAATCATCACATCCTTGCTCTTGAAGAAGAGTGACAGGAAGCGAAAGTTCTCTGCAATCAGGGCTGCCATGGTGACTGGTTGGCTGGAGACGGAGTGGAGCAGAGGAGGCAGAAGGGAAAAGGACTGATGGTTCCAGGTGGGACTAGGAAGGCGTGCAGGCTTGAGGACACCTGGAGGCAGGGCATGGTTGTACCATTTTATTGGCTACAGTAGCTGGTGTGGTGCTTCCTGCAGGACAGGAGATAGCTGATAAACATTTGCCTATGAACATGGTGGGTATGTGGGGTCTATTGACAAAGGAGGAACCCGATCCTGTGGAACTGATGGTGGCCATTATGCTGAGTCCTTGCCATATGTCAGGTGCTCTCCATCCCCACAATTCCTCATTGAGCTCTTCTATGGAAGGGGAGGCTTCCTGAAGGTGAACCACTGGTCAGGGTTACACGTGACAGCTGAGATTCAAGGTCTATCTGGCTGTTTTTTTGTTTTGTTTTGTTTTTTGCCACCACCACCTCCAGGATAGGGGTTAGGAATGGCCCTGTAGTGGTAGGGGATGTGGGATGCTTTCCTTCTGGGATTTCTGGATGCTAATGTCCCAGACTGAGTGACCTTGGACATTGAGAGAGTGTCAAATCTGTAGTGGTTGTCTTGGCTGGGCTGTTATTCCTTTATTTTCTCTAACTCCTGCGACTTTGCTTGTGATCCCTGCCCTATGCAGCAGCCTCCCGGCAGCCTGGCTCCACCAAGTCCTGGGCCTGGGCCCTGCCCCACTTGCCAGCAGGAGGAAGCCTCCTTGAGGCAAGGCTGTATCTTGCCCACCACCCCTTCCGGAGGCTGCTCTATTTGCTCTGGGCTGCAGCAGTGCTGGCAACCTGCCAGGGAGTGGGCCTGGCCTCAGGCTCCTGCAAAGTTTTCGGACCGCGCCACCCACAGGCCCTGAGAGACAAGCCAGGGTGTGGCCCAAATCCTCCCCTTCAGGAGGATGAAAAACAAAACTCCCCAGGCTAGAGGAAGCCAGGGAGTGGAGGGAGGGGTGCACAGCAAGCAGAGGTGGTTCTTTGGGTAGTCATCACTACATCTCTGCCTGTCCCCACCTCTGCCAAGTCTGCCAGATGGGCCCAGGCAGGGCCATATGGCCATGTGGGCTCCAGGAAGAAGAGGAGAAATCTGACTCCACAACTCAGAACCAGGGGCTCCCATCTAACTGCTTGGGAAAAGGACTTTGTCTTATTGCAGGGGATACATGAGCTAATGGCAGTCCCGTCTCCCTCTTGCCTTTTGATTTCTAGGCACCTTATTAGCTTCCTGCGGGGCCCAGAGTCCATAAACCCACCCCAATTTGGGTATAAGAAGTCTGGACAGAGTGGGTGATGAGTAGAGGGTGAATCAGGCTATCTTCTGAGACCACTGTGCTGGGGACAGCCTATTTCCAGTGGAAGTGGGACCTCCTCCAACCATCAGTGAAGATAGGAGACAGGCAGCTATGGTGGTTGGGCAGGGGACCGCTCCCTGGGACAAAACCTAGGCCACCTGAGAGGAGCCCTGCCATGCTCCTCTGACACCTGGCACACCCAGGGAGGGGCTCCTCCTTACCTGGGGCTGGCTGCAGGCACTGGTGGCCTTGGCCTCCTGACAGCTGGACTCAGAGTATGGTGCAGGCGTGGGAGACGGCAGTCCGGTCGCACCCTAAGTGCCTCCGAAGGCGCCCAGGGCTCCCTTCTGCTTTGCTTCTGCACGGGAGCTAAAAGTTTGAGACCAGAGGGCTTGGGGCTGGCATCTGCAGACAGACTTAACTCCAGGCGTCTACAGGCAGATCTCAAGCACCTACAGACAAATTTAACTCCAGAAAAGAGAGAAGGAAACAGTGGGATGGAACTCGCGCATCAGCGAATGGAAAAAACTTCCCCGGCCAGAAGAGGAGGGTTGGGCGGGCGGCGGAGGGCGGCGCGAGCGGAGAGGAAGTGGAGGCGCCTGTTGAGCTGCTGCTGCCCCGACTAGCGCTGCTCAGCAGCGCTGCTCGCCGCTCTTGGTGGCTGGCACTCCACCTCCGGCCTCGAGCCTACCTGGTGCTCCACACAGGGCGCGGTGGGGGTAGCTGGGGAGGGTCTCAGCAGGGGACAGGCAGCAGCTCTGGCCTGGATCTGCCCCCATTCCAGTTTCAAAAGCACCCCTTGCTTGATCCCACCTCTCCACCCCCACCCCAGCACGCAGGCAGAAACTACTAGAAGGAGCCCCTGTTCAGTTCCTGAGATCGTGGGAGAGTGCCATCAGACAAGGTGGTCTCTCCGAGGACACAAAATGCCAGGCAAGCCCCACCCCAGTCTGGCCCTTCCCCTGAGCTGTTTGCCCCTGACTGAACAAACCATCCTCCATGTGGCTCTTCCCTCCATAGTTCAGCTAAGTCCCAGAACTACTTCCCATCTCTGGAAGGCTCATAGTTGAATTCAGGAGTCTAGGGTCTTCTGAGGCCCAAGGGGCACAGCCTGGCTGGTAGGTGGAAATTAGGAGGCAGATTTCTGAAGGAGTTTCCCAGCCTGCCCCAGAAGTGGTCCTATCTGTGGGAGTGTGCAAGCTGAGGCTGAAGAGTCACGGGTCAGGAATGCTGAAGAAGAGAGTTCTAAGGACAGGCCACATGGCCCCTGCCAGCTCTGCAGGGCTGTGTTTCCCTGATGGTGGAACTGCTGAGGGATGAGGAAACCTTGCCCGGCTTGTCCACACGCAGGAATGAAGGGGAGAGACCATTTTGGTGTGTTTGCTTGTATGCTTGTTTCAGACCCTATGGCCTCAAATCCTTCCCTAAGAGCTATTTCCTTTTATCCTCACCACAGGCCTAAGAAGCAGGTCTTTTAACAACCCCTGCATGGAGCACACTGCAGCTCCAAGGGCCTAGGTGACTTGCCACAGCTCCTGTAGCTCTGGTGTTTCCACCCGGGTCTGCTGACGCAAAGCTTTACTCTTTCATTCAGGTTTGTCTCTCTCAGTATCCCTGGGCTTCCTGTTCTTACTGGTTGCCCCCACCCACCAACACATGCTTGACTGTGCTCATCTGATCCCCTCTTCCCTGGACCTGGGTCAGGTCCCAACTCCTCCCAGCCCACTTCTGTCTGCAGGGACCTGCCCTCCTTACAAATAAAGAGGGAGACTGGGTCTCAGAAGTGTAAACAGAGAACAAGGAAGGATGGAAATCATGACTGGAAGCAAAGTGATTTCTGAGATGGGTGGGACTCAGGTCTGAAAGATAAGAAACCTATCTGAACCCCTGTTTCTTCCTCCTAAACAAAGACTGAAGTTGTTTATTCCTATGTCTCTTGTCCCTCTTTTGGGAGAGGAAGAGAGACGCCCTCAGATTTAGAAATGAACAAACCCATAAACCACCATGTCCTCAGTGACTACCATGTGCCATGTGCTTTTTGACTTTTAAAAATTTATTTGTTTATTTTTACTTATTTTGGGAACTCACTGAGTTGCTTAGGGCCTCACTGAGTTGCTGAGGCTTTGAACTTGCCATCCTCCTGTCTCAGCCTCCCAAGCCACTGGGATCACAGGTGTGCGCCACCGTGCCTGGCTGCCATGTGCTTTTATATACAACCATCTCGAGTTAAGGGCCCTTGTCCCCATTGTACAATTGAGGAAACCAAGGCACCTGGCCCAGAACACAGTTTGTAAGTAGTAGAGCACAGCATCGACCCAGTTCTGCCCTGCTCTGCAGTGTGAGCTATTTCCACTTAGGCAGCTCCTCTCCCTCCTCATCCCACCTCAGGGCAGAACTTCTTAGTGCTTTAGAGCCCCCTTGAGAAAATGGGAGGCTTCCCCTTCTGTTTCTAACAGGAGACATCTTCTGGGGATGGTGTGATTTCCCCCTGAGATCTGGGCATGAGGCAGGTGTTAGTGTGGTTCCAAGCACCCCTCCACGGGGAGTGTTTCATGCTTGGTGCTAGTTAACATGGAGTTCACCTCCATATTCGTCTAGTGACCTCCGTAGTGACCACAAACCCTGGCATCTCCTTCCTGGACTTAACTCTCAGCATATTGTCTTATCACCTGCCACCTTGGCCCACTCACCCAGAAGATTCTGGCCAATATCACAAGAGGGCTGGATGTCCTCCTGGTTCCCGAGTCCTGAGCTCCTCAAAAGTCATAGACGACAGAGGATGCAGGGGCAGACCAGCCTGTGAGGCCAGAGAGGAGGTAGTGAGCCACCATGAAAGAAGCAGCTTTAGAAGTGGCCTGGGAAGGCGGTCAGGGGCTAGCCATCTGTCTCCCCAAGTCAGTTCTGAACACTTCTGAACTAATACTGCTTATGGGCCCACTGCCCCAGGGCAGTGTCAAATCTGGAGGAAAGAGTCCCCCTTCTAGCTCCATAATTCCTTTCCTACAAGGACAAGTGAGTGCCTGGACATGTGGGCCTGTTCCTGAGGCCTGCTGTGCAGCACCTAAAGCCTTCATTTCTCTATCTTGTTTGAGGGTCTGAGAGCTGTGTTTCCTAAGCCAGCCACAGCTCACACTTTGCTGAAGTAGGTGGCCACCTCCTTGCGTGGAGGCCGAGGCCCGCCCCCAGCCCAGCCATTGCCCATCAGAGGCTCCTGGCCCAGCCGCAGTGGTGGTTTGCATTTGTGCCAACTGGTCAGCAGCCTGTTGATGGCACCTTGGTCGGTGATGCCACGCAGCTTTTCCCTCTCTTCCTCAGTACCCTCGGTGGGGCTGTGGGAGGCGGATGGAGAGGTAGCTGTGGCCAGTGGCCTGTGAGCATGACCCAGCTCCAGGTCATGGTTCATGGCTTCGAAGAACTGCTGGATGCAGACCTTGGCGAAGGCCTTGGCGTGCTCTGTGCACGTCTCATCAAAGAGCTTGCGCTCGATGTCGATGTAGTGGGACCAGTACTTGCTCTTGAGGAAAGCAGCCTGTGTGAAGCAGGGCCTCACGGAGCGCACCACAAACGCCAGCAGTGTAGTCAGCAGCACGAAGGACCAGCCCAGTGCCTGCGGGGAGAGGGAAGCGTTAGGCCTCCTGCCTCCAAACCTGTACAAACCCCCAAAGCACTCTCTGGGGCCTTTAGTGAGGAGAGCAGGAACTGGACAAGTGACTTCACTTCACCTCTTGGCCTCCTCTGTTTCCTCAACTGCAAAATAGGCATGGGTATACCCACCTCTTGGGAATGAGAGCTTGTGTGAGGCATCTGCTGTGTTGGCTGGGTCCTTGTGCACAGGGGTAAACTCCAAACCCTGGAGTGAGTCGGCCTGGTTTGAATCTTGTCTGCACTGCTCAGTAGCTGACTAAGAGTGACGCAACCTGACTACTCTGTGGCTAGTGACAGCACCTATCTCATAGTTCCCATGAGGACTAAAAGAGATAATAGACTTAATAGCGCCTGGTGCATACATAGTACCCACTAACTTTTAGCCACCGCCATTCCAATAGGCCCTCAGGACCATGTCTCTTCCTTCGGGAAAGCTTCTTCACCTCCCCAGGCCATAGTGGCCCTTCCTCCTCAGAGTTCTGTGCCTCTCCTTTAGCTCCTGCTACTGACACCTGCACCGGGTGAGCCTCTTCTCCACGTGGGTGGAGCTGAGGCCTCAGGGCTCCCAGAGAAGCCCTGGACAAGCTCTCAAACTCGGCTGAAAAACTGGACCCTTGTCTCTAGCTCTGCTCTGTCAGTACTGGGAGGGCGCTGAAGGCCCCACCTGGGCCCCCAGCTGCACACAGCAGCATTGGACGGGTCAGAACGGGGATGAGGGGCAAATGCATATACCTATCCCAGGGGGCCAGGCCAGGAGCTGCAGAGCATGTGGTTGGTCTAGGGGTGAGGGGGCGGGGGGGGGGCCCTCAGGCTGCTCAATGAACAAGTGTGTGCCCAGAGGGGCTGGATCTTCAGATGTTTCAAATGAACTTGGAAATGTGATTTTTATCTAAAAAATTCTGAGTTTTAGAGGAAGCCAATTAATTCTAAAGGTGACTTTAGAGTTAAAATTCTGAAGGCCAAATGAAATGTGTCTGTAGGCCAGGCAGCCATGGCCTCTGGAGGCCCTTTCAGCTTGTGATGTGGTAATTTAAGGGTCAGGTAAAGGAACAGCTACTTAGACCCTAAGGCCTGGAGTGGTGGGACAAGTGCCCACAGGAGTGGAGACACTGGTCTGTCTGGGAGAGAAACAGAGCTCGCTTTGGGTACTCACATTGGGAGACTCACAGGTGGCATCTGGGTGGTGAGGGAGGCCTCATAGGAGAAGGGTCCCAGCTGCAGAGGGGAGCCCGGGGGTTTGCACTCACCAGAGCAGAGTGTGCATATTTCTCCAGGCCTTCCAGGGCAGGCCCAGCCTCCTGCCCCTCTCCTTGACTGACCATTAAAGGGCTAACAGAGTGGTCCTTTAATTCGTATCCCAACTGTGGATCTCCCTTACCCACGTGCTCCCTTCCAAGACACCCAGACCCTCAGCTCCCACTCTCTGAGCAGGGAGGAGCCAGATAGGGGCATTTGCCAGGGAAATATACTCAAATGGCCCAGCCACCCACCAGCTCTCCAAGGCCCAGGCTGGAAGAGAAAATGATGCAAATTCCCTCAGCTTCTAAGCTCAGAGCTCAGGATGGAGGAGATGGGGTCAGCTGAGCTACTGGGTCCTCTTTAGGGACCTCAGGACAGAGGACAAATCTGCTACACTGAGAGAGCCATAGCACTTTCTCCAGGTGGCCCCAGTCTCAGAGAAAGTTCATTGGCTCTGCTTTCAGTCTCGACTGGGGAAATGTCCCCCCTCTCCCACTCCATCTGGAGGGAACCCCATTTTGAGAGTTGGGGAAACAGGGCCTTCTAAGAGGGACCCTGGTCTGTGAGCAGACCTGGCCCCCTCACCTGGGAGATGCAGCGCAGGTAGCGCACGGCCACCTCACGGGCCAGCAGCCAGTCGCCATCATAGATCTCAGGGCAGGGCACCCGAGCCAGCAGGCGGGCGAGCTCGGGAGCAGACAGGCCAGGTGTCAGGCTGCCATTGCCCAGGGCAGCCACGGGCACAGCAGTGCAGAAGGCACAGAGGAAGCACTTGCCATCGAGCAGTGTGACGGCCACCCAGACGACAGGTGCAATGAGGGCTCGCTGGGCCATGGAGCAGAACATGTAGCGCAGCACAGCAGGGTCCTTGGCCCTGCGGCCAGGAGGTCGCTTCCACTCTTCAGCCAGCATGGACACATTGTTGTTCAGGACCAGGCCGAGCAGGAAGAGCACCAGGGGAGGTGCCAGCAGGATGCCTGCACTGTAGGCTGCGTTGTAGCCTGGCAGGCAGGGACAGTTGAAGTCGAAGGCTGAATACATCTGGGCGCTGGCCAGCGCCATGATGCCACAGATGCCATTCATGAAGGACTCCTGGTTGGACTGCAGGAACTGAAAGATCATCCGGAACTTGTCCATCGTGTCCCCCACAGGGCCCTGCGGCCTCTCCCCACCTCACTGTTGCCTCCAAAAAGGCTCCTGCAGCCCTCCCTGACCACCTGGCACCCACCTCATGACTCAGCCCTCCCAGCTGGGACCGGCAGAGCTCAGGGCAGAGGCTGAGGTCACTGTCACTTTGAGGAACCTTCTGGTCAGGTGCTGGCCAAGAGGGCGCAGCTTGGCCAATCCTGTGGGTTCAACCAGCGTTGTGCCCCTCCCTTCCCCACCCCTCCCTGACTCCTGTCTCTCCCCAGCTGCCTCCGGTGCTAGGAAGCCACAAGGGCCTCCTCACCTGATGGGGACAGCTCTCTGTGAGTGTGGGAGGGTGGGGAAGGGGAGGGCACAGGCTGGGAAGACAGTGTGTCCAGCAGGGTGGAGTCTGAGGGAGTCCCTGGTGCTGCAGAGGCCTCCAGGCTCCTGGGAAGCATGTCACCCTCCCTCTGCATGTCTTTCCTCCACACTGCATCAGGATCCCAGGGCCACCTCCATCAGACACACAATGATGGTCTGCCGATGTGGGGGTGGCAGTGGTGGGGTGACTGCAGCGGGGGTCAGGGAGATGGGAAGGGTTGGGAGGTGATGTTGGTCACCATGAGGATGGCAGTGGTGGTGGTGGACATGGTGTAATTGTGGGCATGGCATGGAGTAAAATGTCCTGGATTTGAAGTCGGAGGACCTGTAGTGGACAGGCTGCCTGGGCAGGGAACTTCGGTGTGCAGGTACCTTCGTGTCAGACCTGCCTGTGCCTCTGTGTGCGCTGCATGTGGGTTGCGGATGGCGAATCCTTTCCTGCCTCCACCTCCTAGCTCTATGTCCCCAGATAAAAAAGTTAAGGGGTTGGTGGGGGTGCTTCCTGCCTGGAGCCTGCGCCTCCAGAGTGTCTGCAGGACGAGGGCCTCCTCCCTGTACTCATCAAAGGGGAGGGGCTTGATGGGCTCCCTTTGATGTCCACAGCTCTCCCAGAAGGGCAGGTCAGATCTGGCTCCAACTGGATGGTTCCTGTCTGGGGCAAGGGGTGGGGGTGGGGGTGAGGCAGAACCCAGACAGGGTGTCTCCACACGGGGCCCACAGATCTGTGCCTCCCCATGTTTGTGCTCAGGCATGAGCTTGCTGTGGCTCGAGTCTGCGCCTGTAGGCGTGCATGGAACCTCATTAGGGGGCTTTGTATCTGTAAAGCTGACAAAAACAGCCTAACTCAGGACCAGGGATGTTCTTGGCATATGTGATAGAAAAGAATTTCAGCACAAGGAAAGGCATAGATGGAGGTTTATTTAGGAAGGTAGATCTACATTTAAGGGGGAATGTGGGCTGTCTGGAGAGTACCTTGGGCCAGGGGTCCCTCATGTATAGAAGGGCTGTATCAGGGGATGAACTGGAGGTGGATCCAGGGTGGAGCTGCACAATTTCACACCGATGTTTCCTGCACTTGTGTATCTTCCTCATTTTACAGGGGCATGGGCCAAGATTTACAACTGTGCTTTCTGTATCTCGACCGCTGATGGGTATTTCCTTTAAGATTCAGTATTTCTCTCTCTTTATCCTGAATCTCGAACTCAGAGAAACCCTGTGGGATAGGCACTGTCCCATTTTACAGAGGTGGGGACTGAGGCTCAGAAAAGGTAAGTTATTAGCTAAAGGTTACCCAGCTTGTAGGTGGGGAGGTGGGATAGGAGCCCAGGCTAGCCCTCTCACAGAGTTAGAGTGAGGGTTGAAGAGAGGTCAGGGCAGTGGGGTTTTGGCTTTTCTCTTCTGGCTGTATCAAGGCCCCCTGTTCTACTAATCCAGGTGGAAATGCTGGTCTCACAAAGGGGATACAGATAGGGAAAATGTTGCTCTGGGACAACTGGAGCCCTTAGGCTGGTGGCCCCTAGAGGACCCTTGTCAGCGGCTCACCTGGGACACCCCTTGGTGGGGATGAGGATGAAGGAGATCAAGCAAAGGAGGCAACCATTGATGTGCACTGGCCCATTGCAGGCATGGCCAGCAAAGGGTCCAAGCTGCAGCTGGGGCCTGGCACTCAGCCCCAGGAGTGGTGGGTGGGGATGGGATGGGCCTGGGATAGCTCCGGAAACCAGGAGGGGTGGCCCTAGGTAGCTGTCTAGAATCTCTATCGTGCCTACCTTTGTTGGACATGGCTCCCTGTAGCAATGTCCCTGTTTAATGGTATCCAAGGTGCCTACTTTACCCTCATATTTATGCCCTGCAAATTCTAACTGCAATTTTATTTTAAAATCTTTGACATAAGGGCTGGTGGTGTAGCTCAGTGGTAAAATACTTGCCTAGGATGTGCAAGGACTTGGGTTCAATTCCCAGTACTATTAAGAAAGAAAGAAAGAAAAGTCTGATATTGCTGGTTGTGGGGGTGCACGCCTGTAATCCCAGTGATTCAGGAAGCTGAAGCAAGAGGATTGCAAGTCTGAGACCAACCTCAGCAACATAGTGAGACCCTAAGGACTTAGCAAGACCCTGTCTCAAAATAAAACATAATGGGCTGGGGTTGTGGCTCAGCGGTAGAGCGCTCACCTAGCACATGCCAGGCCCTGGGTTCTATCCTCAGCACCACATAAAAAAATAAATAAAATAAAGGTATTGTGTCTAACTACAACTAAAAAATAAATATTAAAAAAAAACATAAAAAAGGACTGGGGATGTGGTTTATTGGGTAAGTGACCCTGGGTTCAATCCCCAGTTACCCCTTCCCCAAAAAGTCTGATATTGAAAAATGTGCTCACACTGGCCAGGTGGTGAATGTCTGTAATTCCAGGAGGCTGAGGTAGGAGGATCACAAGTTCAAAGTCAGCCTGAGCAACTTAGCAAGAATCTACCTCTAAATAAAATATAAAACAGGATGGGGATGGCTCCATGGTTGAGTGCCCCAATACCCACCCCCCACCCACACACAAAGTTCCAAGCGTGGTGGTGCACACCTGTAATCCCAGTGGCTCAGGAGGCTGAGGCAGGAGGATTGTGAGTTCAAAGCCAGCCTCAGCAAAAGGGAGGCGCTAAGCAACTCAGTGAGACCCTGTCTCTAAATAAAATACAAAATAGGACTGGGGATGTGGCTCAGTAGTCGTGTGTCCCTGAGTTCAATCCTTGGTAACCCCTCCCCCCCAGACTGTGCTTACTGAAGCAACCTCAAGTTTTTTGTTTTGAGAAGTTTAAAAAATTTAATTTGGATATTTTATGGAAACTCAGCATTTAACACATTTCCTAATACTTTATTTATTTTTATGATAATTATATAAGATGATCATTTTGTTTTGTTTTTTCATCAGGTTCTATGTGGATGTCTCCAAATCCCCTGTTTATCCTAGTGTCATAAACCGATGTCATCATGGGAGGACCCAGGAGGTGAGGAGTGTTAGGAACAGGCGTTTCTTCTGAAGGGCGGATGGGCGGGGCAGGTTGAGGGGTCGGGGTGGGAAGGAGGAGGCTGTGGCCTTATGAGCACCAGCTGAGGCCAGAGAGCTGGTTGTTGTCCATGGCACAGAAGGGACACAGGCTGCCTGGGACGCTATGGGTTGAACATTACAAGTCACAATCCTAACCCTCAACATGATGGTATTAGGTGGTGGGGTTTGGGGGGGGGTAGTTAGGTCATGAGGGTGGTGCTCTCATGGAGGGATTAGTGTCATTATAAAGAGACTCTCTTACCTTTTAACAGCTGGGGACACAGTGACAAAGTGGCCTTCTATGACTGGGAAGGAGGCCTTCACCAGAACCCAACCCTGCTGACATCCTGGTCTTAGACTTTCAGCCTCTGAACTATGAGAAATAAACGTGTGTGGTTTGAGGCAATTCTGTGTTATCTTGTTACAGCGTCCTGGACACCTCATCTTCACTTGTGCTGCCCCTCACTGTCCACAGAGTCTGACTCAAGGCCCTGCCTGCTCACTTGTTGTCCCTTAGTGAAAACTGCATCCCAGAGTGGTTGAGAGCAACCTAACTGGTGACCCAGGATCAAATTTTAACCGTGCCCCATAGTAGCCAGGGACTTTTGGGCAAGTATTTAAGTATTTAATCTGTGGGGGCCTCAGCCTTCTCATCTGTGAAATGGGGAGAATGATAGACCACCTCTTAGGAGGTTGTGACGGTGCTGTAGGAGGATGCAGGCCCAGCACAGTGCCAGGCCCAGCATGGGCTCCCTGCAGACGATGGTTACAACATTATGGCAGTAAGAACACACCTGAGCCTCAGCAGTGTCTTCGAAAGTTTGTATTAGGTCATGCAAAGGGGGCCCCCTGGGGAGAGTGCCTGCCTGTGCCTTTAGGAAAATGCCCGATTTGCATAGGAGAGTCACCCAGCAACTGGTGGAGCAGCCAGAGTAGGGGGCAGTGGAGGAGGCAGGAGCCCATGGCGGATGCAGCTGCAGGGGCACTCAGGTGTCGTCAGGCTGTGTTTTCAGAGGACCAAGGTCTATTTTTGGTCCTGGGGATTGAGCCCAGGACCTTGCGCAGGCTAAGCAGTGCTCTACCTTCGAGCTCCGCCCCAGCCCCGGTATGTGGTCTTCACCTCAAGAGGACACAGGCTGCTCACCTAAGTCCCCGACCTGCTGCAGTCATCCAGCACTTGGCCTAAGGCTGGCGGGGACCCAGTTAGGGCCCTATTGGGAAAGTGAGGCTGGGAGGAAACAATCCATTGTTCTCCTGAGCTGCTGACTCCAGTGGTCCTCAAGGTCCCCGAGAGATTGTGCCCTAGGTGCAGCGGTGGTGACTGGGGATCACATCTGTTCCCTCCAGGATTTCCTGGCAGCAACTTCCACATAAGCTACTGTACCCACTTCCTCGCCCCAGGCCCTGCCTCTGGGGATACCAAGTGTCTTGAGGGTGGCACCATGAGATGGGGGCCATCTGTCACCTGGGACCCCAAGTGACTCTGCAGAGCAAATCCCTCCCCCATCCTCCTCTCCTAAGATTTTGCTTGAGTTAGACATTAAGTTCGTCATGTTAAGCCATTAACATTCTTGCTTTACTTTTACT